AAGTCCTTGTCCACAACAGTAACAGAAAATAGTCTGTCTCTTTCCTCTTTATTATAGTTCTTCAGGTATTTGATGACTGTTAACAAATCCCCGCCCCCCCTTCCAATCTATTTTCTAGACAAAATAACCCTGGTTCTTTCAGCCTTTTCTCATAAGTCATGTTTTCCAGGCCTGTAGTCATTTTTCTTGCTCTGTGCTGCACTCTTTCCAACCTGTCCACATCCTTCTTAAAGCCTGGGGCCCAAAACTGGGGACATACTCTAGGTGAGGCCTCACCAGTGCTGAACAGAGCAGATTTGCAGAATCTGTTTATATAACCCAGTATGCTGTTGGACTTTTTTGCAACCAGAGCATGCTGTTTATATTGAACTTAAGCCCCCACTTTGCATATTATAGACATTGAACAATAAACTGGTTAATTGTGCAATTACCTTGAGACCAGTTACATGTGCAAAGTGGTTATCACGCCATAAAAAACTCCGACCAGCTGTAAAGTTAGATTTCAAAAACATGTACTAGCTTTATGGCTGGTTGCTGTCGAGCTTTAATTTGTACATGTAGCAAGGGTCTCCTCTGGTGCTGAGAGCCGCATCAGCTGATGGAGCTTCCAGTCATAGGAGTGCACCATGCCAGCCAGGGCTTGGAGTCCTGCAACTGAGGGGGCTCTCAGCTCAGCAGCTTGGTCCTGGCAGCACCCAGCAGCTGCTGGGACCCACAGTCCCTTAGCTGCTGACACAGGGGCCTTCCTGTGCTAGGACCATGTCCATTCTCCTAGCAATGAGGACGTGTAGGCCATTTTCCAAATCTATTACACTGAGTATAACTGATAGTGATTAATGTTTTAAAACAAATACTAAAATACAGGGGGCTATTGTTAAACTAAAATGTATGTTAAAGGAAGAATTATTTTATACATCAATTTCAAGCAAGTTACAGGACTAAATTTTAATGTGTTGGCATATAAAATCTATTCTAGTCTTCCTTTATTCCACAAAGGCCTCTGTTTAAGGTTCAACTGATTGTGTATTGGGTACTGCAGTGATGTGGGGGAATTGCACCCCATAGACTACATTCTCTTTGACTTAATTTACAAAAAAATTGAAAAACAAACCTTTGAACCAAGATCCATGTTAAGTGTTTAGGGTTTTGTATGGCCTCTGACTCCATAGTATCAGAGTACATCATAATATTTATTGCATTGATCTTAGGATCCCTGTATGATCATCATAATTTTATTAATTTTTCCCTCCAAATAGAGAATTCCAGCTCTATTAGGTGGCTTCCTCAAGGCTGCTTAGGACCAGGGAATTCAACCTGGACCTCTAAAGTCCTAAACTAATGTCCTAACTGACCCTCTTCTCATTTCTCAGAAGCAGACACATGGATCCCACTGAAACAGATGAATAAGCCTAAATGAATAAGTCCACTGCCAGAATATTGCCCAAAATAGCAAGATTGCTGTGGAGTGAAAGATAAAAGGCTCTGTTAAGGCTGGGCTGATGATTTGGGCCATAGTACTTTATTGTTTGGAATGTTTGCAATCTGCTGAGCACCTATGAAAAGCTTTTCAGATTCAGCTAGTTTAAGAACCCAGGACATTTTAATGTTTGTGGCCAATTTGTGTACAGTTTCAAATACTATATTATGGTATTTTGATTACAAAAAGAACCAAGCCTATTAAATGGAATAAGACCGTGCAACATTTTTAACAGACATTTTTGCTTATACAAGAAAATTTGAAATACTGAACTGCTAAACTTCCCCAGCCCAGATCGGAATATAAAATGGTTAGTCAATCTTTCTTGTATGTATCTAATGAAGCTCACTTCTATTGTAGACATTGTATTTCAGGTTTCAGTCCAAATAAGTTTTTATGGGCAACCTTGTAACTACCTAAAAAATGAAAAAACATAAGTAGGTTTGTAATGGAAATGCTGATCAGCTTTGGTAAAGCAGCACTAGCAGGTGACAGGTTCACATCATGTATGTGCAGGCATATGTGTGTATTAATACAAAACAAACATCAACAAGATGCTGTAACATGAAAAATGACAAATCTTTAACAGGTTGATGCAAAGCACGGGGGGGGGGGGGGGATGCACATATAAAAATCTCTTCCAGTGTAGCAGGAATGCAATTTTCTAATGCCTTCTTTTCTTTTTTGCAGTACAATTAATTATATAGTTCATTAATTAATGAACATATTAGAGAGACACCATTACTGATCAGCAGAGACCTGATATATTACTGAGTCAATAAACTATTGAACATGAAACGGGACCTTTCAGTAGAATTTTTTCCTTGTAACCCACAAACACATATATTATTCTTGCATACTCAGCACTTCTTTGGTGCCTTTTATATTTCATATTACTAATTCTTTTAATCACTGATATATACAGCAATGTTTTACAGCCTAGCTAATGAGTAATTGTACAGCTGACATTGGGAGTGAGACCCTGAAGTGTCAGGCATAATAGAGTAGGATATTTTTTCCAACCAGGTTTTTAAGAGTCAAAGGTAGTAAAAGAGCAGACTAGATGGGAGGGAGAAAACTCCTGCACCAGAAAGTGAACAGAGAAATGCAAATTTTATTTGAGTCAGTGAACCATAAATGTATTTAAATTGCTGTCTGATGCAAGTAAATAAATAAAGCTTTTAAAACAGCCTGAACTCTTCTCATTGTCAGCAAACAAAGAGTTTAACTTAGCCATTCTAATGTGTAATGTAATTTTTTCGTACAGATTCAGTGTTTTCAGTAAGAGGAAGGTAATTCCTGTTACATACAGATATAGCAGCTTTTTAAGTGGAGGAGTCAAGGAAAGGTTTGTAAGGCAACATCATTCATAAAACTCCAGTGTATCCGCAGTCACAAGTATCAAACTCCCTTCCCCCACCTAGCCCCCAAGTAATCATTGATTGCATCTAAATCTGCAGAGAGATCTTTTCCTGGCAGCTCTGGTAGTTACAGTAGACTGTTAATCTGTGAATGATCAGAATAAGTTATTTCCATCTCAGAAATCTCCATGCAAATTACACCTAAATTCATGCCATAAATTTATTTTGAAGAGCACAGGTCATATGCAGTGCTGTTTAAAAACATAGATTAAAAAAAAAGTCTAATTCAATTGATGCTGCCTTTCTTAGACAGGGTTTTTTGTCTCCTCAAGTAAAGCTATGTTTTGTTTGTTTCAGATGAGAGTTTTCAGGTAGATGTACTGTTAATCCATATTTTCATTTTTTAACCTGTGTTCTATCTTTATATCTTTAACTTTCTTTAATTACTATTTTTTCTTTTTAGAAAAAGAGGTCAACATTAATGTTTGTTAAATATATAGGACTAAAAGGGGAAGGGCTATATCTGGAGAGCTGGGAGAAGTGACGGATGCAAGGGAAGTTGCAGTCTGTCTCGTGAGCCAGTACTGTGCTGTGTACTTTTGTCATTTTATTGATTCTTTGGAAACGCATCAAACCAGTAGCTTCTTTCTGATACTTAACTGAATTAGGCCTTGTGTGAATCCCAACAGGGACACAACCTTTAGGTGAAGTAGGAAAAAGGAAATCTGTCTTTAGGTATATTTTTGTGTACAAGTTTCACTTATAGTTTTAACCAGCCTGACATACTACTATGGGAGGACACAATTAGCAGCATTTTCCTTCAGGCACTTGATCTGCTAAAGCATGACTTTTGTGGAACATCTACATAATCCTCACTATTCCCCCCACCTCTCCTTAAAGAGAAATGGAGACTTTGATCTGTATTATTTTAAAGAATTTCTTAATTTACTCTGTGGAACAACAGAATACATTACTGCTAAATGAAACTTTTAATTAAAATTACCCAGCGATATAGATATATTTTGTTAAAGAAAATTAAGCATAACTTTAGAAAATGGACAAAGCTTTAGGGTTTAAGAAATCTTCCCACCTTTTCTTCCCATATCTCTCTACTAAAATCCCAGCTAGCCTATGGAAATATATATATTTTTAAAATTTTTAATCTGATAAGACATTTATGTTTACATTTCTTTTTCCAGGCCATCCGCTGTACACTGGTAAATTGCACATGTGAATGTTTTCAGCCAGGGAAGATTAACCTGAGAACCTGTGATCAGTGTAAACATGGCTGGGTGGCCCATGGTAAGAAGTGTCTATCGTTTTCTTATCCTCTTTTAATATTCATCACCTTCATTTTTTTTCAAAATGTAGACATTTTGAGCAGTAGCCACAACTATTTCTATTTATCTATATAGGTGTGTACTTTTAAACTTTTTTTTTACAGTCTCAAATGGAAAGGAGAACACCATTTGCATTGGCTATGGTTTTTACTGCCAGTGGAAGCAAAAAGTTGGTTAACAGCCTATGCATAGCTCAAAAAATATATTGTAGCCTCCAAGAAATAATGCTGTGCTTGCAGCTGTCAGTACAAGGGCAAGAAGTTTATAATATGGTTGCACAGTGGAGTGCATGTTACACTTAAACATCAGCCAGTAAGTCAGAGTCTGATGGAAATTCAAACATAACACCACCAGCCTTTTGGAGCAGGGTCAGCAGAATGAAACCACTGTATCCTATTTGGCTGAGTGAAAGGCTGGATGGCAGTTCACTCTCAGAGTATGGTCTATCAGCTGAACTTCTTTTTAAAGTAGCTGAAGAATGGGAGTGGAGTAACTAATATTGTTGGCCCTTCTCTAAATGTGTTATAAATATACACTGATTGGTTGGGGGCTAGATTCTTTTTTTTTTCCACCAGTCAGTAACAAATCCACCATATATGCATCTTGATCTCATCCAATATACTTCCAGCAAATACAACTAGAAGACAAATACTACAGGGACAATATGTTCTGAAATGGTTTCTTGAATAACAGAAAAAAAGAATGGTTGTATTTGCAGAAGAAATTTGTGTCTGAAGTTTCTCCTCACAGCCCAGGCTATTGGCCCCTAAGCAAGCATACTCTTCGTTCCCCATGTTTTGCCAAACATTCAGTGGGTTGTAGTTTATACATTTTATTTTATTACACTTAGATCCAGGGGAAAAGCCTGGTACCTCCTTCCTGAAAATGTTCTTAGTTCCTGTTTGTGTAGGTACACATATGTACTGAAGCTTGGCATGTTTGCACATTTAATGAAGCCGAAAGGCTGGCACTGCCTAGGAAACTTTTGAAGTGTGCCCACTGATGGAAATGGTGCACTTTTAAAGCATTCAGGTGAAGACACAATTCCAAATTACTTTGCAATGAATGGGCAAGTGTGCTGGTGGTATCCAGCATAACACAAAGTCAAGCAAATGATTTAATTTGCATATTCATGATGTACTCTATTCCTTGGACATAGGACAGTTCTGTTTCCCTTAATTTCAAACAGGATGTTTGCACTCAGTGGGTAACCAAACCCATTCACATTCTTAAGTGGCTTTCAACGCTCATTTAGTCTTTAGAGCAGGAGGAGCATGCAGGGGTTCAGTGTCAACAGGGGCAGCAGGACCCTGCCTGTTTCTTTTTCCATTGGCTTCTATGATGAATATTTGAAAAAAATATCCAACTGGATGGGATCTGTTTTGGATTTCATTACCTCTGGCTTTGTTCTTAAACAAGAGCTCCACAGAAGTTTTCATGTTTTATTCTGAAACTAAAACTCTACACAAGGTACTTTTCTCTAGTAAGGTAGTTTTCTGTGATGGGGTTGACTGAAAATTGTAACACTAAATACAGCTTGAGACTGCCATCATTATTTTAATACAAATGGCTGAGTCAGATCTTAAATCCAAAGTAGTAGATTGCAAAAGTGACTGCTACAACCATTGGGTGCATCTACCTGTAGCCATAGTTCAGTGCTTAAAATTTCAAACAGAGAAGCTGAGTACAGCTATATATTAACAAAAATATGTTTTACTACTGGAAATTTACAGAGCCATCTGATTTTCTTTTAGCCCCTTTTGACTAGATTTCAGGCGGTATGCTTACATTTATGGCAGATGAAGACTAGTCAGATATATGTTTCATATACACACTCAGAGCATGGGCTTATAAATTAGTTCCTGAAGACTGTGACAAGTCTGCTTGAGTTGTTGACCTTAGCTGCTTTCCAAAATTCTGAGAGAGACAGACATTCAGGAGACTGATTAATTCATTATGCTGTAGCACCTGGATTTCAGAATCAGAGAGTCAGATTACTGTTCAGAAATGACTTCCTTTAAACACTGTACTTTTAGAAATTATTCATTGAATGCAAATAGTGGATCCTACTCCCTTAATAAGAGTGTTTCTGACCTTTTTTTATTAATGAATTTCAATTCACATTCAGTGTTTTACTGAATACCATTCAATTGCCTGTCAAGAATGACTGGGGCAGGGTGGGGAAGGGGGCTGGGATGGAGTGCCACCACCTAACGCCCCATGCTGCCACTGTTCTGCCTCTTGAAGGGAGTGGGGTGGGAGAATCGAGGGCAGCGCTGTTGGCCATGGCTTCCCCACCCCTATCCGGTCCTCGGTGCCACTTGTAGGGAGTGGGGTGGGGGAGCTAAGGCGCTCCAGTGCTCGGTGCCACTTGCAGGACACGGGGTGGGCGAGTGGAGGTGCAGAATCATGGTGGTGCTCCCCTATGCTTGGAGCACTCTGACTGTTTCCATCAGCCAATCAGAGTGCAAATAAAGCATTACAGACTGACAGACAGACTTAGGCTTTTATAATATTAAAATAATTATCAAAGAACAGGTGTTTTCATTAGGAAGTACCATGCTTATCCAACCTTGATAACCTAGGATTATAGTTAACTGGGTGGATCAAAAATAACCCTCAGTAGCAATCTTCTCATGTTTTCACTGACTGATTCATGCAGAGTTCATGCATGCTAATAACTACCCATTTAAAATGTTGGAATTCTTGACCTGAGAGGGAAAGGGCATGCAGCCATCATAGCATTTCACATAGTAACTGCTGATCTGGTGCTTTGGGGTTTTTGTCCTGTTTCCATTGTCTTCTGGTTTTCTTTCCTCACCTAAAATGAGCGTCATACTTCTTAAAAGGAAAGGTTTCCTAAAAGTTCATTTCTTTTCTGTTTAGATGTGCCAAAAGTAGGATGTCAGTGTAAGAACAGATTCACCAAACGGAATTTGTGGCATAATAAATGGTTCTATTGGCAAAAGTTCAGTTTATCAAATTTTAACCCTGTACCCTTGTGCTATAGTGGTAGTCCTACCATCAGTGTTTTTAAGGCTGAAGCGAAAAGCTGCCTAGAGTAGTGCAGCCTTCACTAGTACTTAAAGGGGAATTGGTTGTTTCTATTGAGTATCTTGGTGTTTTAAAGGGTTAAGAGAACTGGGCTGTTTTAATTTGCTTCCAACTGAATCTTGGCATACATGTTATCAGCTTGGATGGAGATATATTTTCTAAAACAAAAAAAAAAGCTTTAAATTGGATAAGCCATTTCCTGGGTCTAAAGTAGTCAAATAGGCCATTTAAAAAAAAAAAGTGTTTTAAGACTTCGTATGATCCATAAGGTGACACCATACAAAAATCTTAATATTGAAATGTATTAAAAGCTACAACATGTTCTGATCAGTTGCATAAGTAATGATTACTATGATCAAGGATTGTTGGTCTTAGCCCCTACATTGTACCAGTCTTGAACTGGCTTTGGCATGGTGTGGGGCTGGAAATCATCTGATTTTTTGGTCCTGGACCTGGCATGGCACCAGAGCCAGTTAAAGATTCCAATGGCGTATGGTAGCTGGGACTGATGATCAGTTGATTGTTGGTTCTACACCAGAGCTGGTTTCAGGCTTGTTTGGCTAAGAACACATCTGCATAGTCTGTTTAAAAAAAAAAAAAAAGAAAGAAAGAAATTATAAAAAAAAGCTTGAGCCATCTGTAAAATCTCTAAACAGTTTGAGCTGATTGAAGCTCTGTGGTCACAGTGTTGCTGCACAAAGAAGCTGTGTGAAATGTTGAAAGATGGGTAGAGGGCAGCAGTGCTACATGGTGTCCAATGTTCCCTTTAAGGAGCAGCAGTCCGTAAGCGCGCCGCCTCAGTCCGGCGTGGGACACTTACTGAAGGGGGCTGAGGGCTGGGGCCAGGGGCTGGGACCAGGGGCTGGAGCCGGTGGCTGGAGCTCAGAGCCAGGGGCCAGGGGCCAGGGACCAGGGCTGGTGGCCAGGAGCTGGAGGCTGTGGCCGGTGGCCAGGGGCTGGAGCCAGGAGGCCAGGGGCTGGAACTGGGAGCTGGGGGCCAGGGGCTGGATCCGGAGCCTGGCATGGGCTCTGGGGAAGTGCTCCACTCCCCCGTGTCAGGGCCAGGGAGTGGAGCACTTCCGCAGAGCTGGCGGAGCCCATGCCAGCCCCAGAGCACTTCCGCAGAGCTGCTGCCTGCCCCAGTGAGGCTCCACTGGCTCTGGGACACTGCGCCACTCCCCCGGCCCTGATGCCATGTGCCTCCTTGCTCCCCGAGGTGATGCAGGGGAGCAGAACAGTGTCCTGGGGCAGGCAGCAGCTCTTTCCTGAGGTGAGGCAAGGCAGGGATGGAGGCTGGGGTTGGAGGCTGGTGTGAGCTCTGCCAGCTCTGCAGAAGTGCTCCACTCCCCCGCCCTGATGTGGGGGAGTGGAGCACTTCTGTGGAGCCCATGCCAGGCTCCCGCCCCAGCCTCTCCTGGTGCCTAGCCTTGAAAAGGCTGTACATGGCCACACTTTTAGTTGTGTGCAGCCGTGCACGCGCGCACCTTGGAACCTTGATGGTGTCCCATCAGGAATGTTGCACCCTGCAGAGAGTCTTTTCTTAGTGCTTTGAAGACCCCTCTTCCCCCAACATGTGCTGCTGCTGCTGTTGCATCCCCTTGGCTGTCTATAATACTGCTGGGTTATGGGTAGGCTTTTCTGGAGGGTCTGTACCTAGACAGAAGGAGCAACACCATCAGAGGTAAGGCTGGAGAGTGGGGAGGGGGGCAGCATGGTGCAGCATAGGGCCAGGGGCTTCAAGGGGTGGGCATGAGTATGGAACCCTTGTTGGGCCAGCATAGTGTAAAACCAGTACTGCAGTCAAACAGTGTTGCCAACCCAACAAAACTTTTTTCTTTTACTGCAAGCTTCTAATTGCTAACCAAACTTTTTTACTATGGATGGTGTTAAACCCCTATATTTGAACCC